TAAAGCTTGTCGGCAGCATCTGAAATGGAGATTGGCTGAGCAATGACCGCCTGCACCATGAGAGAGAGAGAGAGAGAGAGAGAGAGAGAGAGAGATATGAACTGAACATTTATGACTGGAGAGCAAAATCAAGAACCAATAAAAAGGAATAAGGGTAATTTCAAAATGACACCAGAAGTAGAACTTAACTCTTGAAAGACCCAATCATTTTATTACAAAAACCTTCTTGACGTTTATCTCTTTTACTATTGTATTCCTTTTAATGAGGTATAGTTTTGAGGTCTGAGCATTTATTTCTTGGTCTCGAAGAGGACAAGTTAATGATTTGAAACCTGTAAATTCCCATCATGTCAGGCCGACTGGTACCGGCCTGTGTGCTAACAGATGTCAAGTTCACACCATCGTCTATGAAGCTGTCTTCATATGAACTGTCATCTTGCTCGTCCTCCTCATTGTCAGATGCCGCACTCTCTGATGATACTCTACATTTGTTTCGCAGAAAGCAAGTATGAGCAGAAAAACTTCCAAGACCAGACTAGCAAATGATACGTAGTTTTAAGATATACTACTCGGAAAATGAAGGAGAAATTTGTTAAAAGTGATGTAAGTAAGGGGCCCTCTTTTCCTGGATACAAAGGGTTTATTTATATTCTTACTATTATTCTCTTCATAAGCAAAAGAATTTCAAAAGCACTTCTTTTATTTACAAAAGTACTACAGGAACGCCTTGCATTCGACTATGAGGGTAAACGTCAAGGGTACTTGACACTTTCGAAAAACATTTGGGTCCTTCTGTGTATATATATATATATATATCAAACCTCGGGGACAATTTTATAATTAGACCAATGTTTTAAATTAATTTTGACTACTAAATTGAAGCCAAACGAGCAACTCCAGCAATCTCAACCTCAGCTGAAACACTTACTCTGCTTCCTCTTCAATATATACAGCAGCATCTGTTGCTCTCTTCTTCTTACCTGAATGTCCAGACCCAAGAAAATAATTAATAAATTAAAAAATAAATTAAAAAAAAATGATTCAGAAATGTTATTAAGCTAAAATAACAAATTCTTCACAAAATCAGACTATTTAACCTCTGACAAGCTTAGCTGGCACTTGTTTGTCAACTTCCCCCTTTGAAGTTTGAAGTTTTCTTTTCAGGTCTGTTTGTTCTTCCTCAGATTGCAAAGGAAATTTCAACTCGTGATCTCCAAGTTTCCGCAATCTTCTCAACTTGCGTGGCTGCTCGACTGACTGAGGTTTCACTTCAGCATCCAAAAGCCATTCTTTGCTGCCGCTAGTGCTTGATACTGTAGCAAAAGGAGACTGCTTTTCTATGCCAAATGGAATGGGTGACGTGCGGACACTTGGTGAGCTAGATTTGTGTAGTACAGGCGTTTGCATGTCATTATTAATATCACTCGGCAATTGGACGTCCATTTTACCCTGGCCGCCATCTTCAATAATCTTTTCATCGTGATTTGGAGTTCCTGTTCTCAAAAGTGCATGCAAAAGCATTGATATTGTTAATATTGATATAAGAAACGAGTAGGAGGATGATGGGGTAACTATAAGTAGGCTTCATTACATAGATTAAGTATACTTGAGACTTTATTTTGCCTTCCGTTTACTGCTTCGTGAAGGGGAAATAAAAGCCTCCTTCACATTTACAAAAGTATAACAGTTAGACTACTTACCTCGATAGTACTTCTTGTATAACTAAGCACCCTTATAAACACTACCCATGAAGTTCATCTCAATTTCAGAAAACCTTAGTTATCTTCCTTACAAGTACCCCTTTCTTGACAGTGTAATGGTGAATAAAGAAAAAATGTCAACTTCCAATATTGGGATTTTTTTTTTGTATTTGGGCCAAACTCCAGGTAAATATTTCCTAATAATTCCAATTATATATAAAACCAAAAAGAGGTTCCTGAGGATACAAACCAGTACTATTCACAGGAGATTCTGGAACAACGCCGCTTTCGATGAAGTTGGTCAATCTCGGACTAAGCTCAAAATCTCTAAAATCACCACTCGGTTCATGCACCAAATTATGATCGTCATCAGACATTTCCATCTCGTTTGGCTTTCTGCTCGAAACTGGGGACTCAAGAATTCCGTCTTCCCCAGAAAACAAGTCATCTTTTTGCACAATTCTCTCATCATGACTTTGATCATGCTTTGAATGGCACGGAAAAGCAGTACTGTTACTATATTCAGTGTGTTTACCAATGGAACCGAGGGGAAGTTGTGGTAGTGATGCAACCAAAACGTTTCCAGCATCATCGACTGTTACGAACTCTGAACCAAAAAGAGGTGTATGCACACAAAGCTCAAGTTTTTTAAAGTCTTCAATACACGCATCTTTAGCAAACCCTTCAAATTCTACATCATCTTCCACTTCCTTTTTCAATTCCTCATTGGCAAGATCAGCCGACTTCTCTGTAAGAGAAATACATAAAAGTAAAAAGAAAAAAATATGTAATGCCAATATAATGAATATTCAAGTAAAAGCATACAGAAAAATTGGAAGATGAGATGCACAAATAGAAGGTATGCATCCATGGACTTGGCTATTCATTTTATTAGTTTTTTTCTTCTTTTCCGATTTCTTAACTCGAGGGAATTTCATAAGTGTAAGGTCCTCAAGCCGTGCGAAAAGGAAAGGCCTATGCTATTGTGATTTTTACCTTCCATCAAATTTTCATGAGACCCCTCTGCTTCAACCCTGAAGAAAGGATCTATAATATCTTCATCCTGGATCAAGAAAATATGGGTCAAGAAAATTGGGACGAATAGCAAATGGGAGTGTCAAAAAGTCCCACCAAGAGCTAAAAAATAAACAAACCTCAGAAATATGATCTTTGTCATCTTTAGAACATGGAATCCCTTGCAAAAGCTGCATTGTATCTATTAGCATCCCTGTTCTAGATGAATGGACGATTTTGTCCACAGGGGATGGAAATGCTTGGAAGTGCGGAAAGGCAATGAGTGAAGGTCTCCAAGAACTTTCCCGGCCAGGGGTAAAATACTTGGCAAGTAGACTCGACTCAGCATCGGTTAACTTGTTCTTGTATGCCGACATCTCGACCGGGTCATAATCTTTCGATTTCTTCCCACGAGGGACGAATTTTTCAATTGACATCTCAAGATATTGCACTTCTGGTCTGAAAACATGTGGGACCTGCAAATAGATATGTGCATGGGATGTGAACTGGGGTATAACCATAAAGGCTTCATTAAATTACACCTTTTATTTTATACAACAATTTATTTTTGTTTTTGTTAAGGAGAAATAGACAGGAATAATTTGCCAAAAAGACAAAGCAGAAAAATGCATACCATTCTTGGACTTGGATGGAAATTAAAGCTACTCCTTCCACCATTGTTCATGTGTTTCTTAATAGAGTTTCCCTTTGCTTGCTTTCGCATGTAGCCCTTCATCTCTGACCCTTCACATGCTAAAACTAGTAAGCTAGCTAAGGAAGTGCATCCATACTGAATAAAATTAAACAATCTGGAATCTTCCAGTTTCAAATAAAAGACTGAGGTATGCACAAAAAGTAAACTGATTAAAAAAAAAAAAAATTATTGATAGAAAACACCTAGAGTCTGTTGAGTCTCCAATATAAGGGGTAATAGTATTATTTCTACAAATATGCTTATAAAAAAGTCAAAAGAATCAAAATCCAGAGACAGGAAAAAAAGGATATCAACGCGTCCTTTGTGCTTCCTTCCAGTCCTCCCCATACGTTGAATCATTCTCAAAGGCGAAATATTAGCATCAAAGCATATGACGAGATCGACCTCCATGATATCAAGGCCTTCTTCACCAATTGATGTTGAAACTATCACGTTGTAGCCACCTGTCCGAAATTTCTACAGAAACAAGTCAGATAAAAATCGCTGAGGACTAGGAGATTCCAAATGGTAATAATAGCCAATAGTACCTGTAAAACAGCCTGTTGAACCTTTTGTGATTGCCCCTTTGAGTTTATTCCTGCAGAGGAAAAGAACAAGGAAGCGTGGACTATTATTGCAAATCAATTCCTAAATTTCTGTAAGCCAGCATGTCCAATAAGACTTTGGTAATTGTTCTTTCAGCAAGAAACCTGAGCTTTGTCCGATGAACTCGGTAGCTTTAACAAACTCCCCGATGTTTGTGAGTGCATTGAGTATGTCCCTAACATTTAAAAAATTATTGTTAAAAATACTTTTTGCGTATATTACTACTTTCATTAAACATTGCAAGTACGATAGATATGCAGAAATAAAAAATTGAGATTCACCTGACACTGCCCCTAAAATTCGAAAAGATGATGACCCTGGAGCTTCTGGGATCTTTTGCTTCTGCACCATAATTTCCAAATGTCAGCAGGACTAGTAAAGCATTTACCACATTAAAGAAAGTAGATGTAATGCTACATACTGAAATGGTCAGTAAGTACTTCCAACATTTTTGCCAGTTTGGGACTGGGGGCGCCATGGGAAATAGTTTGCTGCATTAAGAGTTTTGCTTTCAGGAGAATCTCATTTCTACTGACCAACCTTGCGAAAGACCTGCAAATAATTACGCTTAGTGAAACTTACCGGTTATGGAATTTCAGACGAAAACAATCTCTATAGTGAATAAGTCATAACTCATAACTAAGTAGTTCACTAAATGCGTGCAGTTTCTAGTTCCAATTTTTTTCAGTGAAATTATAAAAATTATAAGATGATAAATAGGAAATACCCTTGTTTCAGTTTTTCCTCAAGCATCTCGAATGCAGGTCTTATCCCATGGCTCGAAAGCAATCTCCTTACGTGGCACAAAGTTAGAAGAACCCCAAAATAACCTTCAACTTCTCCATACTTTGTAACCGGAATGCCTTGTGGGGGTACATCACGAAATTTGTCCCTTGAATTAAGCAGTTCCGGGGGGCTAAACTGTAAACCACCAATACATGATTAAATGCAGAATGAACACTTAAAGGGGATGTAATTTGACTTGATATAAAAACAGTATTGAAGTCCATAGGTGGTGGAACTAAAAGCAAAAATGATTTCTTTATTTATATATCAAGTCAAACTGCATCATCATATTCATCTCTTATATAGCTATACTCTCAAACTTCATTCATCTTCTTTCCAGACACAAATATTCATCACTGTTCTAGAAGAAAAATATTCCAACATGGAAGTATAAAAACACCTGAAAAATGTCCCTATATCTCAAATTTAAGATATAAAAGGGTACAGAAACATACTGTCTGGAAATCTCTCTTCTGCATCACTCCGTACACACTAAGACGGGCAATAAAAGGGCGGGCAACTTCCACAATCAGATTATCTATTTCAACAGCCTCGTCACCCATAGCAACCTAACAGAATATCTGTTATTCCACTTATGCATTTAGGGTTCATTTCGTAATTCCAAATTAACTTTTCGTTTCTTGGTACCTGAATTAGCTCCATCTTTCGGTCATTAACATAAGGAAGGACATCAGGATCACTTTCGCTACGATACTCAAGTGTTGAGATACAAAGATTGTCAATCACATTTTGAATTGTCAGGTGTTTGGCTGAAACATGATCAATAAGAATCATTTTCATGAAAAAAAAAAAATATCTAAAATATCACATCAATTATTATTCGGCCACAATATACTTACATCCCGGTGTTGCAGTCAATGCTAATATTCTTAGTTCAACGGGAACATCCATCAGCTGCACATAGCATTAAGCTATCACTACTTAAATTATGCAGTAATAGTAAAAGTGATTATAGAATTGCCCCTCAAAAAGATTGGCACTAATAAGCATGTGTTGATGTGCCAGCTCCAAAAAAATACACGAACTCATACACATTAGGTGTATAACTAGATATAATAATATACAAATGAAAGAAATAAAAACTGATGGACTGGCATCAAATCCCACCTCTCTCTTATGAGCTTATCATGTATTATATTTTCTAGCACTTCTAAATTGTTAACGTGGAAAAATTCTACATTGTAATAGGAGAAAGAAGTAGCTAACCTCACGGACAGCTACACAATAGGAATAGTTTCCTGTAGCACGATGTGCCTCATCAACCACCAAGCATACAAGATGCTTCACTAAACATGAACCTACATCAATTAGGAAAATTCCTTAGCAGTTACAGATAAACAGTCTCCCTAACAGTCATTCTAGAGTAACTGTCTAAGTTTTCTGTCAATGCCAGCATAGTCCAAAACTTCAGAAGGCTAAATAAGGCTAAATAAAGAAATCTTTGAACTAATAGATTGATATAGAAAATTAAATGACTACTATTTTACTAATATCTATTTTCCATGCATATCAACATTTTTTCTAAAAACTCAAAGTTATACATCTATTTCAGTAACTGGGCAAAAAACTAGCTACAAACCAGAATGTATATCCTTCTCCAGCACTTGTGGAGTAACAAAGAAAACTCGTCTGTCTTTCCATAAATCTGCTCTTTTCTTGGGATTTGTTTGGCCAGTAAGATCAATGGTCCACTCCTGCAATCAGTGTAATGAAAAATTAGAAACATTCTAGAATAGATAAGTAATACAAACTTCCCAAGATGGACCATATAAGCAAATAGAAGTACAAGGCGCAATAATCATTGGCTTACTTGAGGAATTCCAACTATATTATGGCAAGCTTCTATCTGTTGCAGGACAAGTGGACGAGAAGGAGCAGCAAAAACAATTTTTCCTGCAAAACATGCAGAACAACTGTTGTAAATACAGCTTATAAAAGGTTATCAACGTAATTCTCAAACAAATAACGGAGTAAGTCAACACAGACAACAAAAGTGCCTTCACTATTTAAGGTTTAATTACTATAAGGCCATGAATACTTCTGAAAAATGTTGTCAAACATAAATATATAAAATTTAAAATAAATATATAAAATTATATATATTATTTCTTTAAATGAATAAATATTAGATTTGTTATCATAAAATAAACAAAGATTCTATTATGCATTGTTGCATAGCAAGCAAAAAATAAATGGAAAGCAGCAGAGAAATAGATTCTTAAACATCACAGGGTTGCATTACCTTCAGGAAACCACCTAAAGTAATTGTACATGACAACTGCAGCAATAAGAGTTTTTCCAAGTCCTGTTGGCAAGACAACTAATGTGTTCGAGAATAGTGCGGTCTTTGTGATGGAGAATTGATAATCACGACGAGGGATATTCACTGCCACAAACAGCAAGAAGAATGTTAAATCTACAAGTCAAGAGCATTGTGGTGACACTCGTAATTGCACCTCGAAAAACAAATTTTAACAACCTCCGAAAGCTACTTCAATTCTAATACTTGACATAAACAAAGTGAAATCTCTAAGTGAATATTGAGAGTACTAAATGCAAAGCTGAAGCCGAAATAACTATTGAATTCTTTAAGTGAGAACAACTTTGAATTAATCAGCGTTTTTGAAAAGTTTAGATAACTAAGATTCTGGTAACGAGTTACAAATAAGCAGAGACGAAAAAAATTGACTGGTATGACATAGGTAGGTCTTGTTAAATTAAATCTCTGAGAGAACAAAAGAGGAAAGGGAAGAAAAGCATTTTCAGCAATTTATGAGAATTTACACAATACGCCTTTATGAAAATTTCTTCTCATGCTTATCAGTTCCCCAGTCGTAAAGTTCTATTTATGCAAAATAAACACCGAGAAATAAACGAGAATGTGCACCAACTAACGCAAAAAGTTAGACAACAAAAAAACCTGGATAAATCCATGTCTTGGCAGCTTCAGGGTCAATTGCCACGCATCTATTAACCATTTCAGCATACTCACACTCAGCAACACCGCCACCATTCTCACAAACAGCATAACCACCACTACCATTTTCCCTAGCTAACCCATTCGAAGATTCCACCTTTCCGAAAAACTTCTTCGAATTTCCGGAAGAAACCCCAATAAAATTATCTAGTGTAGACTGTCTAGTGGAAGACAATGAACTATAATTAGCATCAATTTTCCCCTTTATCTGCAATTCCCCAGAAGGGCCCGAACAATTTTCGGGATGATTGCAGTTGAAATTAGAACTAAGATTAGAAATGGAGGCTGGCAATTTCCCAGCAGCAACTGCCTCGCACGCCTTATCAATCTCCTTCACAGCTGCATCCCAATCCATATCCTAACGTAACAAAATAAAGGGGGAAACAAATAACAAAGCAAATCATCAATTTTTTACGCACTTCGT